TGTGTAATTTCTACCTAATTGAAGGTTTACGCTCTAAAGTTTAAACTTCACGATTTGTTAATGATTAATAAATAAGTTATATAATTCGTTGTGCATAAAAGAAACAGGGGTTTTACAACTGCAAAATTAGTTTTTTAAAAATTATTTCGTACTTCTGTTTTATATAAAAATAATTTAATAATGATGCCATTTCAAGACAAAGGTAGAAGGAACTTAGATTCGGATGTACGGAAGCAAATTAGCACTCGGCTTAACCAGTAATAGTAGTAATGAAGAGAGATTTCATTCCCAGGCACGAATTTGGTTGGCCAGTGATCAATAATGGAGTGCAACACAGATATACATCATTTCTGTTCAAATGCACCTAAAGTGCTGCATTTGAATTCCAAAAAAAAATTCATTAATTCTGTCGAGCAGAATCGATATTCTCTACTGCACTATCTATGCCCTGACAATGGTAGTTGTAAATTCGATACATATCATGCGGATTCCATAGGTTAAAATGCAGTTCGACTATTAAATAATGATCTTAAAAAGCAGTCATTACTTAATTAAGTTCACATTGTTTAAAGAAGCAGTGGAAAGATGTATTTATTACTTAGAATGAACGCTGTAATAAGAGAGGTCATTTCTTAATTGGTTGGTCAATTCTAATGACTTTCTGGCAAAATTAGCAAGCCAAGTAAGTTAACCTTGACATCAATAATGCCTAATTAGCCAACAATGGGTTTTATTCAGAATAGAAATATTAGAAAGTAGAGGGCATCACCTCTATATATCAGAGATACCTATCTACCATGAGCTGTTGGCAGGTGAAAGAAGAACGAAACAGTGAAATGAAGTAACTCTGTCGGAATCGGTAAAATTCACTACTTTACGAAAACGTGACCAGCTCTCTAGTTAACTGTTATTTAGTAAGTTGAAGAAACAGATGCCCGAAATGGTATACTTTTTCCGTAGCATATTCACGCACATTTTCCCGGTCAATTAGCCGAGGAAACATGGGACCATGTCCTGAACTTTAAAACGTTGTTAAGTCGAGATGGTGATGGGTTAAAACCGGGTAACCTAAAGAATCCTGAACTCCTATTAAGTAAGACTTTAATATCACGACTTTATCCGCTGTTATTTCCAAAATGTATCTTCTATTGACCTTTCATTTTAACCATCGATACGTTCCTGGGATGAAAATTGTAACTGATTAGTATTCGGTTGAAATAATACTAAAGAGCTAACGTTTTCCATTCGATTTAGAGTGGTAGTAAAGCTTTCTGGTATTCAGCATTAAAGAGGCATTTAAGTAATCGATTTAATGAAATTCTAATCCATTCAGTGAAAATCGGTAATAACATTTTAAATTAAATTTCCATAAAGCTGAAGGCTTCAGTTAAATACCCGCCCTAAGTTTCTGTTTAAGGGGCGATAGAATGATCAACCTCTCGCTATCAGCCCACCAGTCATTCATCTCAAAATACTGCGTATATTTATCACCACGCAAGTTAATATGACTCAGCTTCTGACCATTGAAAATTTGGGTCATATTGAAATGTACTATTTGATGAACATAAATAAAGCATTTTATTGCTTTGACATTTATTCGCCACTTCAGCCTTTATCTAGACTACTCCACGTGTTCTTGCATCAGGAAATTACATCTAATTAGGAAGTGCAAGCATCTTCCTTCGTCTCGGTAAGTAATAAAGAAGCGTACATTTTGCTAATGTTGAAGTTATGCTGGGGCTAATAGATTTAAAGCATTTCAATCGATTCCCTCCATTGCACAACCCCATCGATCAAAGTTCAGGGACTTCAGACGACTAGACCTAGTTCAATTGTAAGGTTAACCTTTACCCTTTTGACGCATATACATTTAGGGTTGTGTCTAGTAGTTCGTAGATCCACATGATCGAGGTAATCTGATAGTTAACCACGAACAAAATTTTCTGCTTAAGAGAACATAATTAATCGATATCTAATTGATCGTAGCTCTTACACTCCATTTCCCACTTGGTTTGAAATTCCCCTTGCGATGGATTAGATTATTAATTTCATGGCGAGAATGGCGCGTCTAAAAGTGGAATATTCATGTAAATATGGTTTTTTACGTCGAAAAGTTTCATGCATGAAGAAAACTATGAATCTACGCATATTCTATTCGCGCATATAGCTAATCACTATTAAAAAAATTGGAACTTCAATTAGCTCCCCTTACCTTTAATCCACTCCACTCCCAATTCCCTAAGTACGAGACCTTAAAACTGACGTTGATTTGACGACCCCAACATCAACACAACGTGCTCTGTTAGAGTTGTTTTAAACGTGAACCTAAGCTTTCTGATCATCGCCTAACTACGACTATCATGTTCATGATGATTTGTGTTACAAGTTAACTAATTACCCAAGGTATAACCTACAATCAAGATAAAAGAAGTCGTTAAATGAAAAATGTTTCACACAGATGACATTAACTTGTCTACAAACAAAGACGTCATAGGTTACACCATCGCCTAAATGCGACTATCATGTTCATGATGATTTGTGTTACAAGACGTTTTAGAAATTTTATCGAGCCCCAAACATTACCAATTTTATGGGTGAACTTGCAATCGTTTATAAAAAATGTTAGAAATTTAGGATTAAAGAAATTGATAGGTGGTAGAAGCGAATATATTCCATTTTATCAGCAGAATTCCTAAAAAATTCGGAAAAGAAATCATTTTTGTCTTGTTACTTTCTTTTACCCAATTAAAACACATCAACACTCCTACCCACGGGATGCGCAATAGACTTATCTCCACGTGGTGCACCCTGGGCAACGTATACTTATACGGCAAAAAAGTCTATTGATGGACAGTTGACTTCTGAATTCAAACTTCTATGGCTCTACTATTTGTCATATTCGACCCCTTTCAGAGTACTCATCTTACCTTTTTATGCCTTTGTGTCTGTCTGTCTGTCTGTCTCTTTTACCTCTGTGAATCATCATTCTGTCTCCGATCTCGACTTTTTGTCTCTTTATGTTCCTTCTCCTCTCTGTGAAGCCCCGAAGTCAGCTCCAGGGCTAATGATAACTAACAAAACGCCTGCCATTTGATATAAATAAATAAATAAACACTCCTACCCACTAATGAAGCCGTCTCGGTGCTTAATCACCAGTTAACCTGGTTATTATTGCTGCATTACTATCAACATCAGTGAAGCGAAATCTTGTAAACTAAAGGAATCAGTTTATATCGATTAATTTGAAGAAATTTAAATAATACAGTGGTGAGGGTGGAGGTAAAACAAGTCTTATCTCATTCGAATTTTGAATTCGCGTCATACAAATTTTCATAATGAGGTTACATTTCAGAACTCAATGTTTGCTAACGAAATCCATCGCTTTCAGATTTGTGCTATATCCTTGATGGTCTGTCTATCCTCTTCAGTTCATTTTTTCGAGGGTTAACAGGGCAAGGTCATCATACTCAATTTTATTCTACTTACATTATCTTAGCAATTAAAAGTTAACCATTAAGTCAATTGAATTTCACTATCCATGTCAAATTTTTTTAAAATGGCGAGGAGAAATCACCGTTTGAGTCGCTGACCTACTCCCTTTTTGAGTATGAGTGATTCTGACCTATTAGTGAGTACATACTTTACATGACTTGAAGCTGGGAATAACATTAAGAGTGCTAACTGGACTGGTTACCAGAAGGCTATTTCCATTTCATGAACAAGAGGAGAATTCGCCTTAACCTAGTTTAACCAACGCATCAATCCTACGTGAGTTAAAAGAGATCTACCTTAATAACCCGACTCAATGCCTTGTTTAACGAGTCCTAATAGTGCAAGAGCGGTTTGATTACTTGCTTAAATTGGTATCGGTTTTAATAATAATAGAGATGTGCCGTATTTGTATTGTATTTATTTAAATTGCACCATTTTATTTTGGTCACTTAAGTTGTTAAGTTAAATTTAACCAGAGAGACGCTTCAGAGGTCAAATCGATGTGAAGCCTTCGAAGGGTATTAACAAATGCTACAAACAGGGCTTAATAATAAACCTCAAACCCCCAAATATGATTTGAACTACAGAAAGTATATTGAGACTCCAAATCTACTAGTATGAAGTATGACAAAACACCACGATTCCCAAATAGTAGTAATTATGCTAAATAAAGTCACAGTAGAAACCCGGCTTCCATTATAAAATAGAAAAAAATTAAGAGCATAGAAAGCCTTTTAATCACGCAATACGGTAATAGTATGAAACGCATAGCACAATGTCACGATGTGTTCTTAATTGGTTGATAAAGAGATTGGAGTCAACTGGTAAAATGCTTGAAAATTCAACACAAGACTTCGGTCATTGAGCAGAACATAAAGCAACAGCGTCATGGTAATGTCGGTAAAAATTTCATTGAAAGAGCTAATATCACAGAAAGTATTTTTGTGATTTCCATAAGGCAAGTGGGGGGGGGGAAGGGGGAGGGGGAGGGGGGAGTCTATAAAAAAAGGGAGTTTATAACACGTCTGCAAAAGCGCGGGAATGTTTGTGCTCAAATCTTAAAACGGATGTGTGTGTGTGTGTGATAAGAATGTAATGAGATTTGGCGGGGAGAAAATGGGAATGATAAGTAATTGAAACAGAAATACAGAAATACATCAAATTCAGAATCCCTGCATTGTTAAGCCAGTAAAAGTAAAGTTGAGCTAAAACGATTTGAAAAAATATTTGGTATCGACTGACGTCCATGGCACACAGACACACATGCTTATAAAAGAGCCTTGAAAGAACACCTCACACAGCTGGAATGAAAGCTTTGAGTGGTGGAAAATGGGAGAAGTTCTTGCCCACTTAAACACACAGGGAATGGTGAAAGAGATTTGGCAGATGAAGGCGCAATAATGGAAAGAAAAAACACGTAGCAAAAAAATTCGGTAAAATCAATAAGATGCCAAAGAGAACACACAGCGAAGATGAGAAATCCAGTTAAATGAGAGAGAGAGCATTGACTAGGAACGATCCTGATTAAATTTGAGACTACGACGAAGCGGTTTGTGGTTGGTCGCATTCGAATGGTGCCAATTTTTCCAACAGCCTGGACAAAAGTATCTGAAGCATTCCAATGAACGACAGAAGTAGACTCCTGGCAAAGCTTTGCATGATTCACAAAGAGAGTCCTCGAGGAATGGGTCGATCTGAATGATTTTAACGAATTTTGGAGTCTTAATCTCCACAAAATTAGCTTGCACAGCTGCCATGTAACTCTCTTCAGTTCGGAAGGCGACACGACCGGAACCTTCAATGTCAATAATTAATGTCAATTAATTCCATCGCTAATTGAACTAGCATTATATGAAATATTTAGTTTCAAAAGTACACGAAACAATCACCTAAGCTACTCATGTTTCATAGAACTTGTATGTACATATGCGAATTGAATTATCAAACAAAGAAACCATAATAAATCTAAAATCGAATCTACTCACCAATAGGGTACTTGTGTTTGTCGGTATCGAGTCCAGCAAAAATGACATTTCCAAAGAGTTCATTCATGATGGAGGCCAAAGCTTCAGCAGTAATCATTCCATGCAATGCACCGACAAATACGGTGAATTTGTTTCGAATGTTGGACTGGCTGCCGTTTGGGCAGAATTGGCTGTCGCTAATTACCCAAGGTATAACCTACAATTAAGATAAAAGAAGTCATTAAATGAAAAATGCACCACACAAATTACCTTAACTTGTCTACAAACAAAGACGCCTTAGGTTACACGGTAAAATTACAATTATTCATCAACTAGTCGACAGAACCAAGCACCACTTGACCTATAGTGACCATTTGTTAAACAAAAACATCTATGAAGTTGATCGGTAATCTAGAACGGAAGAAACCTGTCCTGTGTAATTCTCTGTATGTTTAATGTCGCCTAGACGCCACACTTCTCTCAAAGGTAGTGGCTCAGGTCTTGCTGTTAAATGAATGATAAGTGCACAGTGATGGATGAAATTAAGTTAAAACGCACCTGAATGCTCTTGGTTTTAAATTTGGGCGAAGTAAGTTTGAAATATTCACCGCCGTTGGTTGGATCACGAGTACACTTGGCAAGTAGTTGTTCAACACAGGACTCGTTATCAAAGAGGAGATAACAATAGCCCTTTGGGGAAGATCTCTCAGATGAGGAATCGGAACAATTATGATGAGAAACGTAACCACCATCCTTTTGCGGCCATAAGACAGTTACACTACCGAATTGACAGAAGGCAGTAACGAGATCTTCACTAGTACTGTCCCATGGAACTCCACCGAGAAAGACTTTTCTTGAAAAGCACATGGAATTGTAGTTTCTCATTGGTAAATTTCCTTGCCATATGCGGATCGATTCTAGTTTCCTTGAGGCAGAATCTAAGGAGAGGTATATTGGTAAAAATCTTAAAGTTACTACACTTACTGGCTGAGTTTCTGTAGATTGTAGCAGCGCGATCAATATCCCCTTCAAAATTAACCGGACGAACAGGGTATTTACTTGGTAATGGAGGGTCGCTATTACGAGATCGAGAGTAGAGTTGTGAAATGGGAAAATCAGGAGTGAAATTCACCGATTGACGACTGTTTTGTCTACTAGTCATTGGCGATGAATACCCATATCCATTTGATAGTGAACTCTTGGCGCTATCGTATCTTGCGGCGTAGGCAGCTCCTTGTGTGGCTAACATGTCCATCAACTCAGTATTATTCTTTACTTCCTCCAGTGGCAGTAAGCTCCCAAGGCATGATAATAAATTTACATTCCCAGCAGATTTGACAGCGGCAGATTTACGCATATTTTGCAGAATTTCTGAATTATTGGCTTCAAGATAGGTCAGAAAAGAGCGTAATAAAACTGGATGTGTTTTTTCAAGTTGGGCGATCATATTTTGGAGACAGTCCGTAGTGGGAGAATTTGAATTTGTGTTTCCATGATTGAATCGCGTGTTCGAGCCGTAAGACCCCCATTCATTAGATGGCAATAGGCGATTCGGCAAAACATTCAATAAAACTGAACACAGAAGATAAGGTTCGATATCTGAGAGAAAAAAAAACATTATTGGGTAGTAGACTATAGTCAACTGCAGATTGTCTCCATCTTATTAAATAAAATCACAATGACCTTAGGCTTATCTCGATTTGCCAAAGTTTCTGTTTGGCTTATTTAAGTATGAAAACAATGATATATAGCAAGCAAGATCGAAAAACTTAAAAATGCATACATTTAAATCCTTATAAAATGAAATAATATAGCCGAGCGTGGAAATGACGTTACAGTGAAATGCTGTAGCAAACGAAACTTCACGAGTATGATAAATAAAGTGATATAAGGTGGTATATACCATAATAGTGCACACAAAACGCCACGAATCTTACCGGCAGTCCCCGAGTTATTGAGATCGAGCTGACCAAAGCTGGTAGAAATATTATCAACAGCTGAAGCCAAAGATGGAGGAGGAATATTTCGATTAGTAAGATGATTAAGTCCAGGAAGTGCATCTACATTGGACTGAGAGCTCGTTGAGGCTTTTGGATCTGAATTCAGTCGAGCCTTTAGTTCAACTGGGGAAGAACTGGTTAAAGATTCGGATACTGATGAATAGTCAGTAGCCCGAAGGCTGCTTGATCTACTTGTAGGTCTGCTACCTCCATCTGTTAATTCGAAAACACTTTGTTGGAGTTGCATCATATTCTCCTCAAGCTCTCTATCTTGGCCACTCCTTGAAGAACTGCCACCGACCGGCGTTGTATATCCTTCGCCTGACAAATCTGACCCAAAATTTAAGTTGCTACAGTGAACAGGAGAAATATTGACGTGATTCAATGAATTAGAGTAATTACTCTCCGATGACATTCTCTGAAGAGGGGTTGAATGATTTTGCACCTCAGCTAATATCGAAGATTCGGCATTCGAACGTCTGCTAGCTTCGAATATGTTCTTGTGATTAAAGCCTTGGAAAAGTGAGTCGTTCCTTACTTGGCGAATGTTTCGCAGGTAGCCATTGTGCAGACCACTATCGAATGTAGTATTTTGCAACCTTGGCTGCTCCAACGAATCATCTCTAAGACTGGTGGATCGTATCTCTTGCTCATACCTGCCCACTGTGGAGCGGAGTGAAGTGCTTGGCTGATCATTTCCATAGGCGAAAAATAACTCATAGTCTGGTGCTGATCGTATCAAAGGTGGTTGCATGCTTTGACTACTTCTCGCTTCTAAACTTCGATTGTCTAGTTGTTCACTAGTGTTAAATTTGCGTTCGTTGATTCCACGACTTGAAGAATAAGGTGAATTTAATGCACCAGAAGCACAACCGTTGACAGTGCCTGTTTCAGCTAAAATAGGATGTAAACGATGCGGTTACATATTTTAATTGCGCGCGCATCCTGAGGTGATAGCTCTGATTGGCTATCTGTGATCGGTTTGTGTGTGAATGCGCCTATCAACACAGAGAGCACAAATACGACTATGTATGCAAGTCCAAACCAGTAAGGGCCGTAGAAAGGTAAAGCAAGTCTGTTGGTGCAATAGAACTGGCATGTGTAGCACCTGTGTGTGATTCATAAATCTGATGACGTACGTTTCAAGTTCAGATATGAAAAAAAAACTATCAAGTCTGCGTTACAGACACAAATAGCCGACTATCCAACATGCCCAGTAGTAGATACCAAAAATGTTCCATTAGAGCATCCTCTTTGCCATTCAGAGCATTACGTAACCACCCTTGTGTGATCCTCCCAAGAACACTGCACATCGAGGCTGCAAGCCGAGTCACACTCATGACTGGGAGGATCTCGTGTTCTAAGTGACAGCACACGTACTTCGCAGGGGCTTTATACCTTTCCAAAAAGTTTGTGTGAAAACTTCTAAGGACGAATACGTTAGTTAAGGGAAGTATAAAAAGAAATGTTGCAATAAAGAGCGTTATTTCCAATAGCGTGTAGAACTTACTCCGGCGTGTTATGCATGGAGCACTTGCGTCCAGGGATATTGCTGGATCTCGTCGTAGGAGAAAGCGAGCGCTCTCATTTTTCCACCATGTGCTGGGTGAGCTCATTTAGAAAGCGTAACTTGAATCCGGCGAAAGCGAAAGCACTATCCGATATCTTGCTTAGCCAGTGTAAAAATGACTAACTAAAGCTCAAAAAACTTCTCAGTTTAGAAATGTGAACTCTAATCGTTCGTTAATAGGCACGAGGCGCAAGTACGTAATCGATTAGGCCAAAAAAATCAATAAAGGCTGAGTGAAGTTCATTGTAATTTTCCACAACGAATTGGTCATTATCAAGGTTACTTCTTTGCATTTAGACTTCTACTTTGATTTAACTGCACTCAAGTGCTTATTCTTAAACCAAACCAAAAACTTTTTCATGTGAAATAGTGAAAAGAATAAGATATGCTTGGCCTCAATGGAAATTACTTTTACTTTTACGTATAATAGTAAATAAATAGCTGTTATAAGTTCAAGAAATCGAACTTTCGTACTACCTCATAAATCAGAGCGACAGTTTAAGCAAAATTTGTGTGCCTATCGGCTCTCGATTCACGTAATTTTGGGTTAATTTGCTTGCGAGCTGCTGTTTTTTGAGCCGATTAAAAATCATTTTTTGGTCATTGAGGTACACAATCAATTTAACTTATCATATGGCCATTAACCTAGAAAGATGATTCATGTTTAGCCACCACCACGAGACGTATACATACACACACACACACACACACACGCACGCACACACACACACACACAATGGTTTAAAGGGGTCAGGCCAGATAAGGTAACTAAGGCTCCTCTTAACTCTCACGTAGTTTGAACACTCCAATAGCCAGAGTTTATGATATTGTCAGAGCGGTAAAGCACGTTATTTGTGTATGCCTTACGTTCATCTCTTGAAATTTGACCAATTTCACATTTGACTAGGTACGGTAAACATAAGAACACACCTAACTAGTAAAGATATGCAATAAAATGCCAGTCAATCTAAAGCGACTTATTAAATAAATTTTGGGGAACCGTTAAGTGGAGCAACAAATGAAATAGAGTTTATTTAACTTTGTAATGCACATTAGAGTAATAGGTGTGGTAATAACGACTTATCTATTAATGCAATAAAGGGAAATTCAAATGAGAATCCAGAATCTGAGCTATATGAATTTATGACTTTAAACTCATTTTATTTTGAACCAATGACACGCCTGTGCATGGTGTCAGAACATGAAATGCATAATAGAGCAAATCAAACACAGTGCACACATAGTGTTTTGTTACATACAGAAAAGAAACGTTTTCTACGACGATGTAAATATGCTATATCTTATGATTTAACTCAACCTCTTAATAAGGTCCGACATCTTTGTAAAAATAAAAATTTCTTTGCCTTATTAAGAAGTCAACAAACAATTCTTGATCGATAAAGTCTCATTTAAACAAGTTAGCAGACACAGGAATGTGCATTGAAGAGGAAATAAAATTGTGGACTCTTCTTTATCGGAAGTACGTGAGTTGCGCGGGTATTACAATCAACTTGGCTGCACAACCCATTTAAGTATTTGGAAGATGCAAACTAATTCAACTACAGCGTGCATACATGTGTGGATGGTATTTCGCTTCGAGTGATAAAAAATTATATGGGGAAACATAGGCCTCAAAAATATATACTCTTAGCATATGGTAGATTGACAACTAAGCCAAAAGTACCATACTGAGAGTATGTCCTCCAAACTACGGGGCTAGTAATTAGATAAAGTCCATAGGAGGCTAAATTTAAGTGCGCTAATTAAAAAGGAGGAGCGAGATCTGGAGTTACCCTCGTGATTTTCTTATGGCTCCATAATTCGCGCAGCAGACCGAAGTTTCAGCAGACCGAACTTTAATCAAAAGTGCATTAAGAGCCAACTTGATTAGAGCTTATGAAACGGACTTAATCTGAGTCCTATTGAGAAATTTTAGAAGTGATAAAATTTTTTTTCAGTGAACAAAAAAAATTGGGTTAAGTGCAAAAAAACTTTGCTAATTAAGCTTTATTTAGTACGATTGAGCCTTAGTTTTAGATTTCAATTAATTTGTAGTTCATGCAAGCGGCTTAATGCTTCGTGTACGTGACGTAGAATACGACATTTTCAGCTCAAAATATCCAACCAATTTGAGGTGGAATTCGCAACAATGTAATAACTCATCTGAACCAAATAGGGGACAAGATTGGGAGTGATTTGTGCTCATTAGCCGAGTCACCACTTTTGTTTTGTTTTTACAAGTCATTGGGACAAAAATTTCTCGATGCGCCTCTAAATGCAGAATAAGCAATAAATTGAGTAAACGATCTGCTTGGTAGATTACTTGATACGGGAAATTTTTCTAAGGGGTTTAGTTTGTCGGTTTTTTTTCAGCTAGGAATGAGGATACAACATGGGACATAAACCATGGTCTTTAGATCGATCGATACTCAAACTGGCGGATACTGGTTAGATGGCTTGGTAGTTAGAGGCTTAGACAGAGTCGGTTACAAATAAAAGACATCGAATTCATATGTACGACCGATAATTCCGTAATTACTGGACACGTCTAGAAGGATAAACTGTGTAGTCTTTGTAAAACTAAATCAAAAATAATGGTAGCTAAAATGGCTAGACAGATTTCTCTTAGTCAAATAAAATATTTAAATTGGAAATTAAAGTGTCTTCGGGAATTGCATTTGAAGTACACATAAAGGGGAGATTTAGTCCCAATGTTATGAGGCTTGTTTAGAACTATTGCCTGTAATGTTGTTGTTGAATTTAGGCTCACTTCTAAAATATCTTGGAGATAGACACGATATTGTAGAACTCAGAAAGCATAAATAAGCAAACAGACCATTCGGATATTTCGTTGCCAAAATATGAAGATATAGTAGTAGAATGCAGACAGCGTCACAAACTCCCCTACTTGAGTATGATTGACTTGCGCAAAATGTGCCCGAGTTTTTCTGCCTAATCAGTTTCAATTGGCATAATACAATTTGATTGAAACCTAACGTGCTCTCAACGGGATCGATTAGATTTTGTTCATCTGGTTACCAATTCATTGCTTCACGTCCCTTTACACGTTCAACTTTGAATCAACTCGCATGTGATTAATTTAATATCCTTAGCATAAAGCATTTTAGTAAAATAATCTTATTGATTATACAATTGACGAAGGAAACAATCTCTACTGGGAAAAAAAGTAATCACAAGCAAAGTATTCATTATGAGAATTTTTATGGGAAAACTCACATCTAGTGCCCAAGTTAACTTACAAGTAATACAATAGAAGAATATTAATGGGCAAATTACTTCAATCTACTCACAGTCTTTTTAAAGATCAAGTTCCATTAAAGTGATTTCGAAAGATAAGTTTAGTACAGGAGGGGGGGG